CATAAATGTTTCAAAAATTCAAAAAGTCTTTCAAACAATGTTTACTAACAATTTTTACTAACAAAAAAAACCACTAGGTTAATAAAAATCTTTATAATGATAATGGTTAAGGTAAAGGTTAATAAAAATCTTTTTAATGATAAATCATTATAATGATAAACAATTTAGCAATTGAAATTTGTATTGACTGTCAATAAGTTATTAGACTCAAGATGAAGTTTGTTAATTAATGATTCAATGACTAATAATAATAAAAAAACTGATTAAACAATAAGTAGAGAAATTGTAAGTGCAGATTGATTTTTCTGGCAGTCAGGAAACAACATTTATTTAAGGACTTGTTAAATAGTTTAGAGAGTTTTAAAGAGGGTTTTTGAACTTTTGTAAGACTGTGACAGGAGGATCCCAAGCTGTTAAACAAATAAAAAACATTCATTAGATTAATGAGACGAATTAGAAAAATAAGAAACATTCATTAGATTAATGAGACGAATTAGAAAAATAAGATGTAGGATGTTAGACTTATTTAATAGTAAAATCCAATCCATTACTAAAATCCAATCCATTACTAAAATCCAATCCCATCTAACTATTAGAGTTTTTTCAAAATGAAGAATCATAGCTATCAGTTAGCCTAATAAAGGTGGATTAGGTCTGCTGAATTTTGCAAGAGGCATGATTCAACAAATAAAAAGGAGTTCATGATTATTTGTAAAATGTTATAACTTTATGTAATCAATTTTTATTTGCTTTACTTTCCTTTATGATTTTCCTCAGGAAAATCATCCTTCAAGATGGTATTGTGACAACAATACCATCGCAAAGTTTTAATTGGTCAATTGATTTTGATTGGCAAAGTTTTGATTGATCAATTGTGTAATTTCAAAAAGTTATGTTTCCCTAAATTTTTAATTTTGGAACCTTAATTAAAATTTTTAAAAAATTTACTCTAATCCTCATAGGTTATCTATACTCTATATATATGTTTTAGGTAAAAGAAATTAAAATATAATTAGAAATTAAAACATAATTTTACTTCTAGATCCACAGTTCACAACTAACTCAGAAATATCAGAATTTTTTACATAATTTATGTAACTCATAGAAAATATAAAAGTTTTCTAGGTAGTCATAAAAAAACATTTATAAGAAAAACCCAGGCGAAAAGGGGATATATTGAGCGAATTCGGGTGAAAGACAAGACAGAAATAACAAACAACCCATTAAAATTTATTTTCAATTGTTAACTTGCAAAACAAAGTATTTTTTGTAAATAAAATCTTTTTTGTCAATAGGTTATTACCGTCACATGTAATGTCACGGATTACGTTTTATAATTTCTAATCGTTGTTATTTATAGTATTATTAGTTTTTTGTTTTGTTATTTAGACTTTCGGTTCGTCGTTCGAGTATTGTAGAAAAACATCGAATATCTGTGAATGATGCAAAACAAGAAGGTGTATTTCGACAAAACTCTGAGTTTTTACAAGTAATCATAAAAACAGTAAGGTTTTTAAACTTTGTTACAATATATAATACTATTACTGTATCGGTAGTTATATGGCAATAGGTTGTATCTCGTTAAACATAATTTTACAGGCGAGCAAAAATAAAGTTTGTAAAAGAGTTTCAACCAATTTTCGCTCTAATTTCGAGCACTATAGTATAATGTTCAAAATTTGACTATATAACCTATTGTCATACAACTACTGATATATGAGGTTTTTAGATAAAATAAAACAATCAATTCAAAGTTGCTTAAAATTTGTCACAATAATATTTTTATGTATTCGTCAGCAAAGGTCAAATATTCATTTTAGGTTAAAATAATGTAATGTTAGAGGTAAATATAATTTGTTAGGATGATGACAACGAGCAAGTTGAAGAAAACTTTCCTGAAAATTTAGAACTTTCAAATGACTCTACTGTAAGTAATGTAGACATTTCAAGATCCGAAGAATATAAATATGTAGACAGTTTGAGATCTGAAGAAAAATTATTGCCGGAGCCTACAGATTCGTTTGAACCTAGTGTTGAAGTAAATACAGACACAATTGAAGTCACTTTTGACGCAACTTTGCCCAATAAAGGTTTTAGCAAAAGACTTTATTTTAATTACTAATTTTTTTTTTTTTTTTATTAACCTAATATTTTTAGGGTTGTTTTTGTAAAATTTAATCAACCTCAAATTTAATCAATTTTAGAATTAGACTCTACAACTCAAAATGGGAACTTAAAGTCATTAACAACACAAGAGGAAATAGATCTTGAAACCGGTACAGCTTGCAATATTAGTCACAATACTGCAGTTAAACGTAACTCTCTTAAAACATTAACTCTATCCACGGATGACACTGTTAAAAAAAAATGCTGCATTGTTTTATAAATTTTATACCCACATTACTACTGAGCTTTCCTGCAGACCAGCATGATTGCGCCATCTTTTAATAAAGAAATCATTATCAAATATTTATAAATGAATAAATTTTCAACAATCGTTTATAATTTTCATAATACTAAGTAATTTTTTAGTTTATATATATATATATATATATATATATATATATATATATATATATATATATATATATATATATATATATATATATATATCATAATTTCTACTTCAATTTTTATAGCCCAAAATAGTCCAATTATTTTGGCTGTTCATTTTATTTAATTTTAGCGTCAAACAAATTTTATAGCAGTATTAAAATGTAACTCCTAATTTTTCTCATCGGATGGTGCTTTTCTGTTTTCCTCTATTTTTTTTTGATTTTTAAATTTGTTTATTGTTTGTAAACATTTTTATTACGATTATTTCATTTCGCTTGCAAATATTTTTTTGCGTATTTTTATACGTTTGTTTTTACATTTTCTTGTAAACTTTATAAATGTGCGCTAATAGTGGATAGGCTAATAGTTTTGACGTTAAATTAATACTAAAGCTATTAGCTGAGTAGTTAGGACTTTAAAAAAAAAACAATATTTATTGGTATTTAATTATTTTTTTGAACTTGATAAGTTGGGCGACAAAAAAAATATTTACTATAAAATGCTAATATTTATAAGTTATTTATTAACCACTCGCTGTAAAAACAAATAATTATTAAATATGTGCCTAAGGTATGAACATTTCTGACGACGGACCCTGTTTTAATAAATTTTGATCGATTTTAAGTTCATAACAAAATTTTGGTTCTCAAATGAATTTCTATACTATTACTAACTTGTTACAAATTTTTGGCTGATATTATTTTGGTACATTCCTATATTAATGAATGGCATTCCTCTTACTGAGTCCTCCTCTTTACGTCTTCTTGGATTATCGCTTACTACTGATCTTTCATGGAAACCATATATACAATCGACTGCTAAATTAGCTTCTGCTAAGGTTGCTTCTCTTTATCGTGCTCGCCATTTCCTTACTTCTGACTCCATTCTCTACATCTACAAATCTCTTATTCTTCCCTGTATGGAATACTGTTGTCATATTTGAGCTGGTTCTTCTAACGATTCACTTTCTCTTCTTGACAAGGTCCAAAAACGCTTTGTAAATGTTGTTGGACCTGGACTATCTGCTAAGCTTGAACCTCTTTCCCATCGTCGTAAAGTTGCATCTCTTTCTCTTTTCTACAAATACTATCATGGTCACTGCTCAAAGGAGTTATCATCTCTAGTTCCATCAACTAAAATTCATTCTCGTTTTACTCGTCATTCAGCTAAGTCTAATTCCTTTACTGTATCTGTCCCTGCATGCTCTAAAAACTTTTATTCATCTAGTTTTTTTTCTCTCACTTCAATCCTTTGTAACTCTCTCCCATCTTCATGTTTTCCTGACTCATACAACTTTTCAAGTCTTCTGTCAACCGTTTCCTTGCTCTATAACTCTGTTCTTTTTTTTCCTTGTAACTCCCAACTTAATAGTGGTTGCTTGCAGCCTTGTTGGGAGTGAATGCAAATAAAAAAAAAATAATAATGTAAAATTTTATTTAAGATGTTACGTACTTGGTAAAATGCGAATTACGAACCGGTAAAATTTTATCATTTGCGGGTCATGATGTTGATAAAATTTTAACTTTTGCAGATCATGTGTTAGTAAAATTTTAACTTTTGCGAATGTTCTTGGTAATTGGATGGTGTGCAAGCCTAGTCAACTAACCCAAAAAATTTGATCTAGATTTTTCACTGAATCTTGTTTACTGATTAATGTCACACCCTATAGGCTAAAAGACGGAGCCAAAATTTAATTATATCAGTCTAAAAATAGCATAAAGTTTAGTATACCCTGCATTACTCAGCTGCCAAAGTAAACCATCTGTCAGTCCAAAACGACAACAATTTATTTTACCTATTTTGAATTTCTTTTACTCCTAAAAAAAATTTTATTTTTGGTATTAAATTAAATTTATATTATTGGTATATATATTGGTTATATATATATTGGTACATTTATTAATCTACTAGTTATAAACATGGTTTTAATTTACATAATCATTATGATTATATCTTCCTTCTGATAACGATTACTCCAAAGTCATATAATCGGTACTCTGCCTTTTTGTATTTGCAAATATACTGATTTATTTTTAGATGGCTCAAATTGCCGTCGAAGGAAAGTGTTCAATATGTAAGTAACCGTGTATTATTGGCGAAACACTCAGTAAAGAGTCACATGTCATTGTCAACTTGAAGGGATTAAAAATACTAATAAAGTTCAGCAAAAAAAAGAAAGTGGAAGATTTAACTGCGTACTTCAATTCTATGAAAAGTCAGAAACCGATAGGTAGAGTTTTAGTTAATCATAATTGCAGAAGAATATTTGTAGATCATAGAACTCTGCACACAAAAAAACAATCTAAATTGTTACGATCTTCGAATTCATCTTCTATTCTTGGGAACTCTTTTGACTGGAAAAAAGATGTTTTCTTTGCAAAAAAAAAATTATGACAATAAAAGAATTCTTTTATTAAAGTAACCACTTTACCGATTTGTGAAACACTTATCAAGGTTGTTTAGAAAGAAATGATGCGATAATTTAATAAAAGTTTGTAATTGGTTAGAAAAGGACGCAGATAGTGAGTTGTGCACATTGAAGGAGCTTTGTGAGAAAATGTATTAATATGAAAAATTTGGTCAAATGATTTTTAATTTTTTTAAATTTACTTTTTTTTTTTGTATTAGTACTTGTATAAGGATAACACCAAGGATTCTTTCTATACACATTGAAAAAAAGTGAAAAAATTGCAATTAGCGAAAAAATAACAAAATAAATAAACACCTAAATTTGTAAAAACAAAATTTAAATTTTACGAAGATATTCAAGTACACAAAAGTTTACCAATAATGAAGTAACATAAACTAATTAAGAGGCTAGTATCAATAAATAAAGCATTACTCCATCAAATAATCCGAGTTATTATTATAGTAGCCAATAGTATTATTAGTTTATTTTTATTTGAATCTAAATACATGTTCATTGAATTGTTCAAAAAAAAAACTTGTGCTTTTTTAAACTCTTTTTGATTGACTTCTTCTTTTGTAAACTTTTCACACACTTAAAAATAGTGCAATATAAATAGTTGCTTGTTTCTGTAAAAGCAAATCTTAAATTGTAAATTCTTTTATAGAAAAGAAAAAAAACTTGAAAATTGTTATTCTCCATAATTTCACACTTGTGAAGTATAGACATATCACTAATGCTACACTGATTTAAAATTTGATTCATGCTTATGCTTTTTTACAGATAGGCTGTAATCAAGACTTTGCTTTAACCCTCACATTCCTTAAGCTGAGACATGAAAGTTGAGAACTTGCTGGTCCAAGAAAGTCATAAAAGTCAGTGGTGGTTCCAGCATTTTTTGGTCTTTGAGATAACTAACTTCTAAACATGGAGCAAACTCCAAACATTTATAAGTTTATACTTAGGTAAAATAAGGCTGCTTTTCAAAAAATTACGATGATTGTAGCTTGGAAACAAAAAAAAAAAAAAATTTGGCCGACACTGCCCCAAACGTGAGAGCAACAAGTTAATGAAATAGTTTCTGTTCTATTTTCAACTAGACTTGTATTTATCGATAAATTTTAAGTTTCATAGTATTATCTCTCAGCTTTCAAAAATTATGACCATATAAAATTTGCAGCCCCCTCAAGTTGAGGGGGTTAAAAATAAATAAAATTTATCGATAAATATAATTAAAATTTATCAATAAATATAAGTCTAGTTGAAAATAGTACAAAAACTACTTCATTAACTTGTTGTTCTCACGTTTAGGGCAGTGTCGGCCAAATTTTTCGTTTTTTTTGTTTCCAAGCTACAATCATCGTAATTTTTTGCAAAGCATCCTTATAATAATAAAAGTAGAAAATTGAGATTCATTTAAGCGATAAAATCTAGGGGTGGGAGTTAAGGTTAGTTTTAGTCTAACTAAAGATACTTAACTAAATTTTTAGTCTAACTAAAATTAGTTAACTAACTTTTTAGTTTAACTAAAATTAGTCGACTAACTTATTAGTTAACTAAAATTACGCGACTAACTTTTTAGTTAACTAAAATTACCCGACTAACTTTTTAGTTAACTAAAATTACGCGACTAACTTTCTAGTTAACTAAAATTACCCGACTAACTTTTTAGTTAACTAAAATTACCCGACTAACTTTCTAGTTAACTAAAATTACCCGACTAACTTTCTAGCTAACTAAAATTACCCGATTAACTTTTTAGCTAACTAAAATTAAGCGACTAACTTTTTAGTCTAACTAAAATTAGTCGACTAACTTTTTAGTTAACTCAAATTAGTCGACTAAATATTTAGTGTAACTAAATTTAGTCGACTAAAGCAAGCTTGAAAAAAAGCTTGAAAATGCTTGAAAAAAAAACTAAAGCTTGAAAAAAGAAATAATCTTTCGCATAAAAATTTTACACAGGAGGAAGCATTATTAAGGCGATAAATATTATTTTATCAAAATTAAACACTTTACTAGTTGTGAATCCGAGAGCCCAGTCGAACTAAACTGTTATTTAAAAGAAATTTTTTAAGCAAAATTCGATTATTTTAATTTTTTCCCAGCTCTGAGACAACTGCCTACGAAGTTGTTGCAACTGTTTATAAACACCCAATCAGCATGGTATATACAAATAATGCCCTTTAGTCAATTACATCAAATTTGGAACGCTTATTGAACGTTTAACTTATATATTTTATGTGCTGCTTCTTATAGGAAGTGTGCAATAACAATCGCAAATCAAAAATAATTTCTCCTGCCAAGGCCGTACCAACGTGAGTATGGGCACCTTACCGGGGCTACAACATTCTGTCGGTTTTGTCGGTAATTTAGAAAATTTGAGACTCAATCGGTTAAAACTGCAACTTGGCTTTTAAATAAAAAAAAAGCCCTACTTTGGTGAGATTTTTATGGTAAAAAAGCTTATTTCATTTGCACTTCCCTCCCCTACGTCTTCGTTGTTCAGTACAGCCCTGTCCCCTGCTGTATTATAG